ATAATAATAATAATAATAAAATGAAACCAGAACAAACGGTGCCTCCATTTCAGGCATTGCACTGCCTGGGCAGCCTCTTCAGTCAATGTGCTGTTTCTGAAAACGTTGGAAGAATGACATTAACAAACACAGCCTGTCCCAGCACAGAGGACTGCAGGAAGGAAGATATTACAGTCAAACTCCCTCTTACAAGTTAAATATTAATTTTTGTTTTCAGGACTTTACATAACTAACTTCATGTTGATAAACATGGTATCTGATGGGCTATGTTAACAATAAATCTTTCTTTCTTTCTTTCTTTCTTTCTTTCTTTCTTTATTACTTGTGAATAGTTTGGTATTAATGTATCATTTTTCATTAATAAAAATAAGCATTACTGCTGGTATGCGAAAGTCATTGTTTGGTACGTACAGTATTTTTGTATGAGGGAAACAATTTGGCACGAGTTCAGWACAAGAATAAAAAATAAGTACCATCTGATAGTGTTTCTTTATTTTATAAAACCAGTCAATAACTCTATAGAGACAGTGATATGAAATGAAGCACATTTGTTGGTGGGGAGTGTCTGGGTAAGCAGGTCAAATAAGGTTTCTCAGCTGAAAACATCAGTATAAAATAAACAAGTCATATTTTAGGGTTTTTTTAAACAGTCTGAACTGCAAACAGTAGCCCAAGAGTCAAACAAAGTTTCAAAAACTCCAAAACCTTTTGTCTAACATAAACACACTTAAAAATCAAACAATAAGTTCATTAAAATCAAACAAAAAACAAATATTGTTTTGTTGCTTCAATCAATTTGACATACAGACAAATACGGAAAACACATCCATCCATTATTTTTGTCCACATCCAGCAGTCACTGTACGAGAGGTGAAACACACTCTGGACATGTTACAAGTCCATCATAGGGTACAGAAACACAATGCATTATAATTAAAACATGACACACTCAAACCTATCTTCTCAGTGTGCAGAGTGTGTGAAAAAAGTACAGCTGCTTGCCATACATGAGCCTTTTGTCTTTAGTATATCTGATGTAGCTCTCTGCAATCAGGGGTCCTGCAGAGTTTTTCATCACAGCTGTTGTGAGTCAGGCAGCCAGGTCTTTAAGCTTCTGCATGTTATTCTGAAGTAACCAAGCTTTACTCGATATAGTGTTTTAGATCATATTTTGCTTTGCTTTATTACTGTCAAGGCTGTTAACAAAATGCTGTTATTTAAAACATGACCATTTCAAGCTGAGAGCAGCGATCACCTGAGATAATTCATGTAGCTGTCCCAAATGTTTGTTATGAATGGGCATGGTACGAATACAGATACTGTTACACACCTAATGGGTGTAACAATACATCAATCCACATTGATATATCGATTAAATCAAGATTCAAACGCATCAAGGCAAAATGAACACGTTGATCCATATTGTTACCATATGCCCAATGTGAATCAATATTTCGATCGCAGATTTGTGAATTGAATCAAAATTGTGTGACACTCCGACTAATAACATGAGATTTTAGAACCAACTTTCCAAAAATCTAAAATCTACTGATGAGCCATGTTGAAATGTGACAAAGAAAGTGACTATATACTTAAACTGCACCAGATTTGTTTTTACTGAGCCAGTCAATAAAATTACCGGGGTTGAATCAGCCATTATCTCTTCCTTATCAAATGAAGCAAAAAATTATTACAAAAACACACTTATACATGCTAATTTAGCATGCAAATAAATTTGAGGAGGTAACGAAGGAGGTAGTTCGGTAAGTAAACTGAGTAGTCACATAATATACCAGAAACTGACCCTCACAACCCAGATCGTGAACCACAAACTTCAGGTAACTGACACCAAAGTCAGTGAAAACTGATCCAGGAAATCTAGATACCAACAGATGTATCATGGTTGTGACAAGTGAGCATCCAGAAGTCCTGTTRCACTAAAACGCTCTCAGTTTCTACAAGACCCTGATCATGATTGTTTAGGCCAACAGTCAAGAAGATGTGGGTTGCTGAGACTAGAACACATCGTGTCTGGAAACCTCCACAAAAGACCCAAAACAAGTCCATAATCTTGTAACATACAACTGCTGTACAACTGCTCAGAACAGAACCAGCGTATCACCCACACACTCTCTAATCTTACACAACATATATTTTAAGTCCCCCACTGGTTCTCTATGTTCCACTTCCAGAAAAGACAAAGAGCAGACAGTAAATGTCACAAGTTGCTGCTGTGTCCCAGTGTGAAGCCAGCCTGGCCTAGTTAGGGTTGACTCCCTGTAGAAGACTGAGTGGGATACTTTTTAGAGCAGTCTTTACCTCAACCAGCACTGCATGAACTCCAGTAAGCTGGAAATCCATCTCTACCACTAAATACAGAGCTTTAAATGCAATGTAAAATCCAACAGAGAGGATCCTAAAAACCTAAAGGAAGGCTAAGGCTTGCTTCAAAGAGGAGTAGAAATATTGAGATTTTCTGTCGTAAAGCCTCAACTTGGTAAGGTCTGACAGTGAAATTCAGAAGGTGGTTCAAGGCTGCAATAGTACAATTATCTGCTACATTCCACATAAAATACAGTATGTAGAGCATATATGCTCTACTTTTACAATTACACCAGGCTTAAGCTTTGAACTAAGGTATTCTACTAATTCTTCCCTATAAAGTCTAAGAGTTAAAGTTTTTAAATTCTGAATGTTGTATAAACCTGAAGTGACACCATGATGATGACATTATTTAAAATTTTAAAATGAAAAACATTCCTTCTCTGAGGAATACATGCAGAGCATTGCTCTGGGCTAGCACAGTATTTAATAAAAATTTAATTACCAATCATTTATTCAATAACTAAAAATTGATTTTGAATACAATCGTGCAATCAAGATCTGATCAGGATAAACTTCAGGCTGGAAACGGTAATCATAAGACTCACCGATGCGGTTTCCTGGTGGACGGCATGAGTCCAGCATTCGAAGCATTCGAAACGGTGACAACCTCAGAGGGGTTTCTCGCTCCCCCAGTCTCATGCCCTCTCCAGTTTTTGCCTCTGTCACTTTGGATTCTCCCAACCTGGGCGCACGACT